GTTTCACCATGTTGGTCAGGTTGGTCTTGAACTCCCAACCTCAGGTGATCCGCCTGCCTTGGCCTCCAAAGTGCTTGGATTACAGGCGTGAGCCACTGCGCCCAGCTGAGTATTTTTTTTATTTGTTAGTTTGTGTGGTTTGCTTTCCTTTTGAGACAAGGTCTGGCTCTTGTCACCCAGGCTGGAGTGCAGTGTTGCCATCTCGGCTCACAGCAACCTCCACCTGCCACCTCAGCCTCCCGAGGCACTGTCTAAAGGCATGCACCACCACACCCAGCTAACTGTTGTGTTTTTGTACACACAAGGTTTTACCATGTTGCCCATTCTGGTCTCGAACTCATGGGCTCAAGTGATCCTCCTGCCTTGGCCGTCTAGAATGCTGGGTTTAGTGGTGTGAGCCACCATGCCCCAGTCGTATTTGTGTATTTCAGCTCAAATTTTATTGAGGAGCTTTTACGTCATAGTCTGTGGTGTCTAACCTTGAGGATGTTTGTGTGTGGAATAATATGTGTTCTTTAACATCTTAGATTCCATTTAGGATGCTCCCATCGGGACCGTGTGTCACTGTACTGGAACTCAAGTGAATACTTGGCTCAAAATCCATTGCTGTTCCCTAGAAATCCTGCCAAGTTCTCTTGGACAAAGATAAGGTAGGTCACCGGATGCAGTGGTGCGTGCCTGTAGTCCCAGCTACTCAGGAGGCTGAGGCCGGAGGATCTCTTGAGCCCAAGAGTTCTGGGCTGTTGGCCGGGCGCGGTGGCTCAAGCCTGTAATCCCAGCACTTTGGGAGGCCGAGGCGGGTGAATCACGAGGTCGAGAGATCAAGACCATCCTGGTCAACATGGTGAAACCCCGTCTCTACTAAAAATACAAAAAATTAGCTGGGCATGGTGGCATGTGCCTGTAATCCCAGCTACTCAGGAGGCTGAGGCAGGAGAATTGCCTGAACCCAGGAGGCGGAGGTTGCGGTGAGCCGAGATCGCGCCATTGCACTCCAGCCTGGGTAACAAGAGCGAAACTCTGTCTCAAAAAAAAAAAAAAAAAAAAAAAGAGTTCTGGGCTGTAGTGCGCTATGCCCATCAGGTGTCCGCGCTAAGTTTGGCATCAATACTGTGACCTCCCCGGAGCGGGGGACCACCAGGTTGCCTAAGGAGGGGTGAACCGGCCCAGGTCAGAAACAGAGCAGGTCCAAACTCCCGTGCTGATCAGTAGTGGGATCACGCCTGTGAATAGCCACGGCACTCCAGCCTGGGCAACATAGTGAGACCCTGTCTCTCTCTCTCTTTTTTTTTTGGGGGGGGGGTGGAGTTTCGCTCTTGTTACCCAGGCTGGAGTGCAATGGCGCAATCTCGGCTCACCGCAACCTCCGCCTCCTGGGTTCAGGCAATTCTCCTGCCTCAGCCTCCTGAGTAGCTGGGATTACAGGCACGCGCCATCATGCTCAGCTAATTTTTTTGTATTTTTAGTAGAGATGGGATTTCACCATGTTGACCAGGATGGTCTCGATCTCTTGACCTCGTGATCCACCCGCCTCGGCCTCCCAAAGCGCTGGGATTACAGGCTTGAGCCACCGCGCCCAGCCCCAGAAAAGAGGTTTTAAGAACATAGCCTGTGGTCTATCCTGGAGGATGTCTGTGTGTTTGACAGTGTATATTCTTCAGCATCTTAGATTCCATTTTGGATGCTCCCATCGGGACTGTGTGTGTCGCTGTACTGGAACTCAAGTGCATACTTGGCTCAACATTCGTTGCTGTTCTCTGGAAATCCTGTCCAGCTCTCTTGGTTAAAGATAAGGTATGTGTAGTTAAGCATTGCTTTTTCTTTTTGGAAACGTAACTCTGGAGGATTGCCCCTTGATGAACGAGGCTAGCCTGCTGAGCCTTTGAAGCAAGGAACTAGAGATGGTCCTTTTAAGGATTTATGTTCTGGATTCCAGAAAGCATGCAAACAGGGCCAATGAATGTGTCTTTATTTTTGCATCCTTTTTAACCTGGTCAAGGAAAATTTGAACAGAAAACTCAGAGTGCTGGAGCAAGATCTCATGCTGTGACTCTCCAAAGGAAAGCACTTTCTGCTGTCTGAGAGAAATGAATGAGTTTTCCTTTAGAGAGTTGCCGTGTGAGAAAAGCAACGTTGAAATTGTTGCTGATTGTGGTAATGCGTTTGCAGAGCATGCTTACAATCAGACCTTTTAGATGATGTTGAGCTTCCATTTTGTATTTCTTTTTTTTTTTTTTTTTTTTCAAATTATTTTGTTTTTTTTTATTTTAAATTACAACAAATATCACATTAATGCATTTTTGTTAGGGGTGCATCAAAACAGAAATACAATTCTCTTTCACTCCTTGTCCTCAATCCCAGCCCTCTCACATGAGACAGTAACAGTTATCAGTTGAAGATGATCATTCTGGGTCTTTTTTCCATTCCCTAGGTGTCTGGATAGACATAGAAATATATAGTTTGGTTTTGTGCAAGTCTTTAAAAAACGTTATCATACTCTATGCAGCATTCTACATTTTGTTTTACCACTGAGTGTTTCTCTCTCTCGCTCTCTCTTTTTTTTTTTTTTTTTTTGCATTTTAGGTTTTGGAGTACATGTGAAGAACATGCAAGATTGTTGCATAGGTACACACGTGGCGGCGTGATTTGCTGCCTTCCTCCCCTTCACCTATGTCTGGCATCTCTCCCCATGCTATCCCTCCCCAACTCCTCGCCCCCTGCTGTCCCTGCCCTATTTCCCCCCAACAGACTTGTATTTGTTTTCTAAGACGGGGTCTCTGCTGCCCAGGCTGCAGTGTGTTGGTGTGATCTTGGCCCACTGAAACCTCCACCTTCTGCCTTAGCCTCCTGAATAGCTGTCTGCGGGCACGCACCACCACACCTGGCTAACTTTTGTATTTTATGTACAGATGAGGTTCCAGCATGTTGCCCAAGCTGCCCTCAATCTCCCGTGTTCAAGTGATCCTCCAGCCTCGGCCTTCTAAAGAGTTGGCAATAGAGGTATGAGCCACTGCACCCCGTTCATACTTGTGTATTTCTGTTCCTTTTTTGTGTTTGTTTTCCTGAGATGGAGTCTCACTCTGTCACCCAAGCTGGAGTGCAGTGGCATGATCTCAGCTCACTGCTGCGTCAGCCTTCTAGGTTAAAGCAATTATTCTGCCTCGGCGTCTTGAGTAATGGGGATTACAGGCACACTCAAACACATCAGTTTAATTTTGGCATATTTTAGAGACATGTTGGCCAGGCTGGTCTCAAACTTTAGACCTCAGGTGGTCTGCCCATTTCGGCCTCCCAAAATGCTGAGATTACAGTTGTGAGCCATCACACCTGGCCTTCTGCTCAAATTTCATTGAGGGGCTTTCACTGCCTAGCCTGTAGTCTATTCTGAAGAATGTGTGTATGACTGTGTACATTCTTTAATATCTTAGAATCCATTTTGGAAGCTTCCATCAGGACTGTGTGTCCCTGTACTGGAACTCAGGTGAACACTAGCTCAAAATCCACTGCTGGCCGAGTGTGGTGACTCACGCCTGTAATCCAAGCACTTTGGAGGCCAAGGCGGGCAGATCACCTGAGGTTGGGAGTTCAAGACCAGCCTGACCAATATGGTGAAACCCTGTCTTTATTTATTTATTTATTTATTTTGAGACGGAGGTTCGCTCTTGTTGCCCAGGCTGGAGTGCAATGGCACGATCTCGGCTCACCGCAACCTCCGCCTCCTGGGTTCAGGCAATTCTCCTGCCTCAGCCTCCTGAGTAGCTGGGATTACAGGCACGCGCCACCACGCCCAGCTAGTTTTTTGTATTTTTAGTAGAGACAGGGTTTCACCATGTTGACCAGGATGGTCTCGATCTCTTGACCTTGCGATCCACCCGCCTCAGCCTCCCAAAGTGCTGGGATTATAGGCTTGAGCCACCGCGCCCGGCCCTGTCTTTATTTAAAAAAAAAAAAAAAAAGGAAATTAAAAATCCATTGCTGTTCTCAAAACATCCTGCCCAATTCCCTTGCTCAAACATACAGTATAACTATTCGGCATGGCTTTTTCTCCTTGGAGACATAATCTGTTGAGCCTTTGAAACAGTGACCTGGAGATTGTTCTTTTAGTGGGTTATATTCTAGATTCCAGAAAACATGCAATCAGGGGCAATAAAAGTATCTTTATTGGTGTGTCCAGTTTAACCTGGTAAGGAAAATTCCAGCAAAAAACCCGGAGTGCTGGGGAAGGAAGATCTCATGCGGTGATTCTCCAATGGGAAGCACTCCTTGTTGTCTGAAATAAAACAAAGTGCTTCCTTTTAGAGAGTTACTGTCTGAGAAAAACAACATTGAAGATGATGCCGATCTTGGTAATACATTTGAAGGACATCCTTATAACCAGACTTGCACGAGGTTGGGGTTTTGTTTTTGTTTAGGGTGTCTGTTGCCCAGCCTGGAGTGTGGTAACACTTAAAGCCTAGATCTCTTGGGTTCAAGTGGCCCGCCCACATTGATTTTTTTCTTGCTACAGCTCTGTGGCTCAGTCTGAAGGGCAGTAGAATATTCTCCACTCACTGCTACCTCTGCCTTTTGAGTAGCTGACATTACAGGTGCGGGCCACCACATTTAACTAATTTTTGTACTTTTCGCAGTGACGGAGTTTCACCGTGTTGGCCAGGTTAGTCTCAAACTCCAGACCTCAGGTGATCCACCTGCCTTAGCCTCCCGAAGTGCTGGGATTACAGGCATGAGCTACCCTGCCCAGCCTCCCAATTTTTATGTGTGCTGCGAAATCAAGCACTTAGGTGAAGGAAATATTTTTCATGTGAGCATACAGTATAGGGAGCATTCTTTTTTTCAGACAGGTTCTTAAAAAATATGATATATAGATTATCATATATGGTTATCATATATGATATAGTCATACCTACAAAACCCTCTTCTACATACAGAGAATACTTGTAAGCCACTTTCGATATTTTTTTTCTTTTTTCTTTTTCTTTTTTTTTAAAGATAGGGTTTCATGCAGATGATGTAAAAGAATATTTGCTATCTGAAAGAGGGTGATGACATTTAAAAAAAAAAAGATGGGGTTTTACCATAATGGCCAGGCTGGTCTTGAACTCCTGACCTCAGGTGATCCACCCACCTCAGCCTCCCAAAGTGCTAGGATTACAGATGTGAGCCACCACACCTGGCGGATGTTTTTTTTAATTTCTTTGTTCTTGTGGTTTCCTTTTGTTTTGAGACAGGGTCTGGCTCTGTCACTCAGGCTGGAGGGCAGTGTTCCCATCTCGGCTCACTGCAACCTCCACCCGCCACCTCAGCCACTGGAGTCACTGTCGACAGGCGCGCACCACCCCACCCAGGTAACTATTGTATTTTAGTACACACGAGGTTTTACCATGTTGCCCGTTCTGGTCTTGAACTTGTGAGCTTAAGCGATTCTCCCACATTGGCCTTCCAGAGTGCTGGATTTAGTGTTGTGAGCCACCGCGCTCCACCCGTACTTGTTTATTTCAGCTCAAATTTTAGAAAGGAGCGTTCACAACATAGCCCGTCCTGGAGGATGTTTGTGCGATAATGTTCTTCAGCATCTTAGATTCCATTTTGGATGCTCCCATCAGGACTGCGTGTATCGCTGTCCTGGAACTCAGTGAATATTTGGCTCAACATCCATTGCTGTTCTCTAGAAATCCTGCCCAATTCTCTTGGTGAAAGATAAGGTATGTCTAGTGGGCACTGCTTCTTCTCTTTGGAAACGTAACTCAGGAGAATTGCCCTTTGATGAACAAGGCTAGCCTGCTGAGCCTTTGAAGCAGGGAACTAGAGATGGTCTTCTTTTTTCTTTTTTAATTGCATTTTAGGTTTTCGGGCACATGTGAAGAATATGCAAGATTGTTGCATAGGTACACACGTGGCAGTGTGATTGGCTGCCTTCTTCCCCATCACCTATGTCTGGCATTTCTCCCCATGCTATCTCTCCCCACCTCCCCGCTCTCCCGCCCCTCCCCCATTTCCCCCCAACGGACCCCAGTGTGTAGTGCTCCCCTCCCTGTGCCCATGTGTTCTCATTGTTCAACACCCGCCTATGAGTGAGAACATGCGGTGTTTGATTTTCTGCTCTTGTGTCCGTTTGCTGAGAATGATGGTTTCCAGGTTCATCCATGTCCCTACAAAGGACACGAACTCATCGTTTTTGATGGCTGCATAGTATTCCATGGTGTATAGGCGATTCCTCAAGGACCTTTTTTTTTTTTTTCGGCTGGGGTCTCTCTCTGTGGCCCAGGCTGGTGTGCAGTGGTACGCTCTCGGCTCACCACAACCTCCGCCTCTGAGGTTCAAGCGATTCTCCTGCCTCAGCCTCTCAGGAGCATTGCTCCTTCATGAACAAGGCTAACCTGCTGAGCCTTTGAAGCAAGGAACTAGAGATGGTCTTTTTAGGGGTTGATATTCTGGATTCCAGAAACAGGCAAACAGGGCCAATAAATGCATCTTTTTTGTGTGTCCATTTTCACCTGATCAGGGAAAATTTCACAAAAACCCACGGTCCTGGAGCAAGAAGATGTCATGCTGTGACCCTCTAAAGGGTGGTGCGTTCTGCTGTCTAAAAGAAAAACATCGAACGCGCCCCCCTTTAGCGGGTAACTGTGTGAGAAAAGCAAGCTGGAAGTGGGTGCTGATCTTGGTAAGACACTTGCAGAATGTGCTTCTTTTTTTTTTTTATTTCATTTTAGGTTTTGGGGTACATGTGATGAACATGCAAGATTGTTGCGTAGGTACACACATGGCAGTGTGGTTTGCTGCCTTCCGTCCCCTCACCTGTATCTGTCATTTCTCCCCATGCTATCTCTTCCCACCTCCCCACCCCCCCGCCCCTCCCCCATTTCCCCCCAACGGACCCCAGTGTGTAGTGCTCCCCTCCCTGTGTCCATGTGTTCTCTTCTAATCAGACTTGCATGATGTCGGGTTTTGTTTTGGCTTTGCTTTTTTTCTTTTTTCCTTTTTTTTTTTTTTTTTTTTGAGACGGAGTTTCGCTCTTGTTACCCAGGCTGGAGTGCAATGGCGCGATCTCGGCTCACCGCAACCTCCGCCTCCTGGGTTCAGGCAATTCTCCTGCCTCAGCCTCCTGAGTAGCTGGGATTACAGGCACGCGCCACCATGCCCAGCTAATTTTTTGTATTTTTAGTAGAGACGGGGTTTCACCATGTTGACCAGGTTGGTCTCGATCTCTTGACCTAGTGATCCATCCGCCTTGGCCTCCCAAAGTGCTGGGATTACAGGCGTGAGCCACCATGCCCGGCCTGCTTTGCTTTTTTTTTTTTTTTTTGAGACGGAGTTTCGCTCCTGTTACCCAGGCTGGAGTGCAATGGCGCGATCTTGACTCACCGCAACCTCCGCCGCCTGGGTTCAGGCAATTCTCCTGCCTCAGCCTCCTGAGTAGCTGGGATTACAGGCACGCGCCACCATGCCCAGCTAATTTTTATTTTTATTTTTATTTTTTATTTTATTTTTTTTTTTTTTGAGACGGAGTTTCGCTCTTGTTACCCAGGCTGGAGTGCAATGGCGCGATCTTGGCTCACCGCAACCTCCGCCTCCTGGGTTCAGGCAATTCTCCTACCTCAGCCTCCTGAGTAGCTGGGATTACAGGCACGCGCCACCATGCCCAGCTAATTTTTTTGTATTTTTAGTAGAGACGGGGTTTCACCATGTTGACCGGGATGGTCTCGATCTCTTGACCTCGTGATCCACCCGCCTCGGCCTCCCAAAGTGCTGGGATTACAAGCTTGAGCCACCGCGCCCGGCCGTAATTTTTATATTTTTAGTAGAGACGGAGTTTCACCATGTTGACCAGGATGGTCTCGATCTCTTGACCTCGTGATCCACCCGCCTCGGCCTCCCAAAGTGCTGAGATTACAGGCTTGAGCCACCGCGCCCGGCCCTGCTTTGCTTTTTTTCTAAGACAGGGACTTTGTTACTCAGGCTGGAGTGTGGTGACGCTTCCAACCTTGATCTTTTGGGTTCAGCAGATCCTTTTGTTTTTCTTTCTTGAGAGAGAATCCGGCGGTGACACCCAGGCTGGAGTGCAATGGTGCGATATCCGCTGACTGCAGCCTCCCCCTCCCGGGTCTAGTGATTGTTTCACCTCAGCGTCCCGCGTAGCTGGGATTACAGGTAAGTGGGACCACGCCCGGCTAACTGTTATGCTTTCAGCACAGACAGGGTTTCACCATGTTTCTGTGCTGGTCTCGAGTGGTCCTCTTGATTCAGCCCTCCAAGTATTGGGTCTACATGGGGCATGCCACCACACGTAGCTAAGTTTTCAATGTTTGATAGAGGTGGAGTCTGTCTTGCCCAGGAAGGTCTCAACTGCTGAGCTCAGGAGATCCCACAGGTGTGAGCCACCTTGCCTGATGACCCATTTAAAAGATAGTTGACGAGGACAGGCATTGTGGGCACACAGTCCCAGCTACTGCAGAACCAGGGTGGGAAGGCCCTTTGACTTCCAGACTATACCATGTACTCATCACACCTTTGATCCTGAGTAGCTGGGATTACAGGCACCACGACCACGCCCAGCTAATTTTTGTGTTGTTAGTAAAGACTGGTTTTGTTGTTATTGTTGTTGAGATGGAGTCTCGGCTCACTGCAACCTCTGCCTCCTGGGTTCGAGCAATTCTACTGCCTCAGCCTCCCAAGGAGCTAGGATTACAGGTGCACGCCACCATGCCCGGCTAATTGTGTATTTTTAGTAGAGACGGGCTTTCACCATGTTAGCCAGGCTGGTCTCAAACTGCCGAGCTTGTAATCCACCCGCCTTGCCCAAAGTGCTGGGATGACAGGTGTGAGCCACCTCGCCAGGCCTGTAAAGAGTGTTTTTACTGTGTTTATCAGGCTGGTCTTGAACTCTTGACCTTACGTGATCCATCCACCTTGGGTGCTGGGGTGACAGGCCTGAGCCACTGTGCCCTGCTCCTTGTCCTAATTTTCAATATGGGATTCATCATGAATGTCAGGGTCACCTTAGTGCAGGGGCCATGGCAATCTCTGTCATTCCATTTATTATGTGTACTGCTGAAGCAAGACCTTATGTGTAGGAATTATTCTTTTTTTTTTTTTAAGATGGGGTTTCACCATGTTGGTCAGGCTGGTCTTGAACTCCCGACCTCAGGTGATCTGCCCACCTTGGCCTCCAAAGTGCTTGGATTATAGGCATCAGCCACGGCGCCTGGCCGGGAATTATTCTTTATGTGAGCATACAGTATGCAGAGCTTTCTTTTTTTTGAGACCAAATAAATGATGTACATTTAATCATATAATCTTATATATAACATAATTATATAACACAAAATACTCTTCTGCACACAGAGAATACTCATATCACTTTGGGGTTTTTTTTGTTTGTGTGCTTTCTTGGTTTCTTTTTGTTTTTTGTTTGTTTGTTTGTTTGTTTTGTTTTGTTTTGTTTTGTTTTTGAGACGGAGTTTCGCTCTTGTTACCCAGGCTGGAGTGCGATGGCGCGATCTCGGCTCACCGCAACCTCCGCCTCCTGGGTTCAGGCAATTCTCCTGCCTCAGCCTCCTGAGTAGCTGGGATTACAGGCACGCACCACCATGCCCAGCTATTTTTTTTGTATTTTTAGTAGAGACGGGGTTTCACCATGTTGACCAGGATGGTCTCGATCTCTTGACCTTGTGATCCACCCACCTCGGCCTCCCAAAGTGCTGGGATTACAGGCTTGAGCCACCGCGCCCGGCCTCTTGGTTTCCTTTTGATACAAGGTCTGGCCTTCTTGCCCAGGCTGAGTGTGGTGGTGCGATCTCAGCGCACTGCAACCTCCACCTCCCACCTCAGCCTCCTGAATAGCTATCTGCAGGCATGCACCACCACACCTGACTACCTTCTATATTTTTACAGATGAGGTTTCACCATGTTTCCCAGGCTGGTCTCAAACTCCTGACTTCAGTTGATCCACCCGCCTTGGCCTCCCAAAGGGCTGGAATTACAGTGACGAGTCACCGCACCCAGCCTTCTGTTGTACTGCTTAGCCTGTCGTCTGTCCTGGAGAATGTGTGAATGACTGCGTACAGGCTTCAACGTCTTAGATTCCATT